TAAAAAACTAAAAAGATGGGACGATTCCCCCGAGACATTCTATGAAGCTGAGGCGTCGAATCGGCTTACGTTACGGTTAGAGATTTCGGCTCTTCCACGCTATCCCGAGTGAACATAAAACTTAGTCTTAACCAAAAGGCCAGGGAGTGAGGGGGTAGCCGCCCACTAGAGCATACCTTTAGCTACCCTCTTAGACCATCGTACTATGAAGACACTTATACATGTACAATATCTAATGGGGGTAGTCTATTCGGTGAAGTTCTATGCTAATATATGACGTCAGCAAACCCCTTAGGGAACAGCAAGCCAATCAGAGCTCACCTCAGGAATTTTACAAACTATATATTCTTCAGTGGATTTATTATTTGATGGGGGTGGGGTGGGTGCCGAGTGCGCTGGTTGGCCGCCGATTACCAATGTACTCGATGGAAGTTGACGGCTTTTACAGAGCTGTACAATTGTCGTTATTGTTTTCCAAATCATCTGGAATAGTCGGAAAAGCCAGTTCTTATCGTCAGACAGACACTACTAATATTCGGATAAACAGCAACACAAAAATCTCTTGAAATTCTTAACGTATATTAAGTGGTTTAAAGACCATGGAGATACGACAGATCATTCACTGTTGCCAAAGATTTTCCGGGACTCAACGTAGTTCTCTAACTCTCAAAAATTACTCAAACACACGAACCTTCTACACATGCATTTCCGTTCTTGATGATTTTACAAATGGATTAATATTTATTAAAATAATTATTGAATATAAATATAGTTAATGTTAATAATTTGAAGAAGATGAGATCCCGTATTAAAATAAAGAAATGAAGCTGAAAACTAAGAAATCAGTTTTGGTTTTATTGCAAACTATAACTCAGGCGAAAGATTTTAAAATATGGATGCAAAATACAGTTTATATAATATAACCATTTTGTGAAGAAAACGTTCGAGAATTTATCGTGCTAGTCTTGTAGTCAAGCAAACTCGGCCTCCGGGATAAAAGTACCGGGGATGCTCGTCGGATCTCCTAGGGGTAAAAATCCTGGGGGGTACTCCAGGGTAAAAGTACCGGGGATGCTCGTCGCATCTCTTAGGGAAAAAAAAACGTGATTGGGAATCTTTTGGGTGCCATTTTAGAGTTTCTGGAAGTTTTCATTTTTTTTTCAATCTCTTCGGGTGTCGGAAAAGAAAAGAAAGAGCGCATATACTGATTTTCCTATGCGTTTTATTTTGTCATTAAATATCTCCTTGGGGTTAAAAAAACATTCAGCCACGCTCTTTTTTAAAGACCTCCGGTATCTTTTAGGGGTCTTTTTGAAAATTTCCTAAGA